GCAATAATGTTTATTGATTTCATATCCAATGCTAACATACTGAGATAGAAAAAAATATTGTCTTTTACTTTACGTGTAGGCAAGATGTACATAAAACAATACATAAAGAGGGACGTAAATAAGACACTGATCAAATTGATTCCTACTTGTAATGAACCTTAACGAACAGTGTCAAAGTGCTCTTGTGAGTTTCTGAGACTTTAAATCCTGATGACATCTCTCTGCTGCAAAGATGTGCCTAGTCTTCCCTATATTAATACTGAAATTTTATTGTTACTTAGAAATTTTATTGAAATTTAGTTACTCTATATTTAGTTAATTTAGTGAAGGGAAACCTAATCTATCTTTCAGAAGGAAAACATTTTCTAAATTATGACATTTTTGGATTCTTTCTAATATATTTCTTATCAATAGTAACCTATCTTTCAAATGTAAAATTCACTAAATAAATAATAATTATTCAGAAAATTTGACATTTAGCAGGTATTTTTAAAAAGAGGCTCTAGGACCCTATTTTAGTTTTGGAAATTTATATCACAAATATAAACCATCTCTCACTTGTAGAGGCATCATAGATAATCATTAACTGATAGTACAGGAAGAAATAGTGGATGTGTTTTCAGGTGTTAAATGAAATGTACAATATTAAATCTAAACAATATTTTCAACGTTGTATGAAAAAAGTCTTTGTTTTCCAAAACAATAGTGTTCAACCATTATACATACTATATGTCCAATATTAAAAAATAGATTTAGTAATCATAGGTTACTACATAGGTCAATGAGTGTAGAGACAGTAAGCTATTCAAGGAATAGTGGATTAGTATATACTTATCAAGGCTTCTTTTAATAGTAAAGTAGGGCTTTGTGACAAATTTGCTCCACATTTTACTGCTTTGCCAGGGACTCTATTACATTCTGGTTAATCAATCATCTATTTAAAAGAAACATGGGAAAATATCCGGTCATTTGAGAGAGAAAAGATGAGCGATCCACCTAAAAATAATCACAAAAACACTAAAAAAAATTTTTTTTAATCATTTTATTTGGGGCTTATACAACTCTTATCACAATCCATACATCCATCCATTGTGTCAAGCACTTTTGTACATTTGTTTCTCTCATCATTCTCAAAATATTTGCTTTCTACTTGAGCCCTTGGTATCAGCTCCTCATTTTTCTCCTCCCTCCCCACTTCCCCCTCTCCCACAAACCCTTGATAATTTATAAATTATTATTTGGTCATATCTTCCTCATCCAATGTCTCCCTTCACCCACTTCTCTGCTGTCCGTCCCCCAGGGAGGAGGTTATATGTAGATCCTTGTAATTGGTTCCCCCTTTCTCCCTCACCTTCCCTCCACCCTCCCTGTATCGTCACTCTCACCACTGGTCCTGAGGGGTTCATCTATCCTGGATTCCCTGTGTTTCTAGTTCCTATCTGTACCAGTGTACATCCTCTTGTCCAGGTGGATTTGTAAGGTAGAATTGGGATCATGATAGTGGGGGGTGGGGAGGAAGCATTCAAGAACTAGAAGAATATTGTATGTTTCATCATTGATACACTGTACCCTGACTGGCTAGACTCCTCCCCATGACCCTTCTGCAAGGGGATTTCCCACTGAAGGACCCTGGGTCCCCACACTGCACTCTCCCTCATTCACAATGCTATTTTTTTTGGGGGGGGTCTTTGGTGCCTGATACCTGATCACTTTAATGTCTTGTGATCTCACAGGCTGGTGTGCTTCTTCCATGTGGGCTTTGTTATTTCTCAATTAGATGGCCACTTGTTTATTTTCCAGTCTGTAGGACCCCAGATTCAATATCTTTCGACAGCCAGGCACCATCAGCTTTCCTCACTGCATTTGCTTATGCACCTGATTTGTCCTGAGCAATCGAGTCAGGACAGGCTGGTGTGCATCTTCCATGTGGGTTTTGTCATTTCTCAGCTAGATGGCTGCTTATTTATCTTCAGGCCAAACATTTAGCACATAATTTAACTATAGCTACTAAGGGTCAATAATCAGGGTCAATAGTCATAACATAAATTATTATTGACTAGGAAAATTTTACAGCTACTGCTTAACAGTGACTTACGTTCAGAATAATGTTTGATAACATATTAAATGGCTATATTCTACTTTTATTGACAAATGTATTTGAAAAAATGATGATACAAGAAGCAAAAGAAAATCTATACTTCACATAAAAGTGCTTGGGGTAATATAATTTCATTTACTACATATAAGATGGAAAAGAAGGAACTAGAGATAGATGTGTGGTAACAGTGAGCTGATAAGGATTATTTTCAGAGAATGTGCTATAGAGTGATGATTGTGTGTGTGTGTGTTCAAGAATAAAATATTTATTGTATTCAATACATAGCTCCTAGTGATGGGAATGTAGTGAACCAGTTATATAGAGCCTTTTTCTGGAGTTTTTCTCCCATCTTTCTGGAGCTCACATTCCAAGCAGGAATGATAAACAATAGACATATAGTATGGCTTGTAGTGTTTTCTTTCAAACTTTTCATAACTCTTCTTGACTTACTTTTCATTACCCTCATCATTTTACTTTAATTATTCAAACAAATACATTGAGTGCATAATTCAAATACAGAAAAAAAGAAATAAAAAGTTTGTGTTTATAATCATAATAAAGGAATGTCACTTATTACATGAAGTAAATAAAATTTAAAAAGAAATAAAATGTCCTTAAAATCCATGGCAACAAGACAAGGGAGTGAAAGAAGAGATTTGGACAGAGAAAATGCACCATCTGACAATGTCTTGGGACTACGTTTCCCAGGATCTCTTGCTACCCCAGTAGAAGTTCCCCTACCAGAGGAAGTTCCCAAAAATCTGTTGCAGGTGAAATTTTAAAATGACTGGATATGCACAAGGAAACAAAAAAATACCAAGACTGGACATGTTGGTTGGAAGGATTTCTTCCTCTTATTAAAGTTCTCTTTCGATGCCTTATGTTCTTCTTCTTTTTTTTTCTCTTAGTAAGGCAAGAATCTGAATTCCAGTAACATTTCTGGTGAGCCAGCCAGGAGAAAGGCGTGCTAGGACAAAAGTGGTTCTTCACCATGATGAGATCAAACCAGCCTTATCCAGGCAAGAAGATGAGCAGCTGCCAAGATCCCTTGTGAATCTGCAACTTCTCCCCCTCTGTGGCAGTGGTTCTCAACCTTCCTGATGCTGCAACCCTTTCCTACAGTTCCTCCTGTGGTGGTGACACCCAACCGTAACATTATTTTCATTGCTAATTATTTCATTACAAATAAATGAAATTTTATCTTGAAGCATGGTGTAGCATGGGTAACAGTCTTAATATAACAACAGTAAGCAACGTTGCTACCTTTTGCGACAGTATGCTTAAAAAGCCAACTTCAGTGCAAAGGTTGAGATAGCTTCTTTCTAATCAGATCAGAAATTCTCAGGGCAGTCTTTGCAAGAACACAACGAAGATCATCTTCCATAGCAAGTCTACTTCCTTATTTAGACTTGATAGCCAACAAGCTGGAAAACCCTGTTTCACAAAGATATGCTGTTGGAAATGGAAGAAGAAGGCACAACACAGTCTCAGACAGAACAGGATATAACTGCAAACACTTGATCCAGAATTTTGTAACTGGCATCGTAGAGAAATCAATTCTCGCTGCATCGCTGTTAATAAATTCAATGAACTCCTCTTGTGCTGTCTCAGGAACATCTTCAACTTTGACAGTGAATGGCCTTCCGGCAAGTGCAAATGGGGTGCCAGGTAGATTCGAAAAGTACAATGAAATTTCTTCGCCTAGAGACGGATAGAAGAGTGGTGTCTTGGTTCCTAAGACCATCAGAAATATGTTTTCTGATGGTCTTAGGCGAGAAATATGTGTTTTCTGATGGTCTTAGGTGATCCCTGTGAACGGGTCGTTCGACCCCAAAAGGGGTCACAACCCATAAGCTGCGAACTGCTGCTCTGCAGTAATAGTCCAGCTGCATCCCAGAGGTGAGAGAACTTTGCTAGAAAATGTTACTTGTCTCTCTTTCGACTTGGGGTCTTCCTGCCAATTGTCTAGGATTTGAACTCTCTCCCAGGCAACCTCGGTAAGGTCGGTTA